CTGCTTATAGCCTAGGGGCAAACGCATTGCATGCTGTGCGTAGGGCACCAGTCTCAGAGGGAGCAGCAAAACAGCCCAGTATGATTATCATCAGTCAAAATCTTATGTATTGCATTAACTCTCTCAGACAAGGCCCTCTCGGACACAACATGGTTTGAGCTGTGCTGCTGCAGGGTTCAGTGAACAGTGCAGCAGCAGCACCGGGCTGAGCGGTGTGCTCACACTTGCAGGTGATTATAACAGTTATTAACTCTGTCAGCTCCCCCTGCTGAGCGATCTTTTTTGAAACTTAAGCTCATTAAAACATACCTGCGTTCAACAAGGGACAGGAACATCAGCATCAGTGCACAACTCGCTCAGAAGCTGTCATAGTGACCTAATTAACGACCTTGCAGCCAGGAAATGTGTGCCTCTGTAGAGCCTCCCACAACTGCTGAAAAATGCCTGTCCTTTAGTTCTTCTGCAGTCCTTATGAAAAAAATCAGTAGGAAGCTGTTTCCTCTCAGTTTGCTTTCTTTCTCTTTTCTTTCTTCCCTTTCTGTTTTGGAAACCAATTTCCCTTTCTTGAGGAACATCACAGTGTAAGGTGGTGCTCAAGCAGCATAAGCCACCACTCACTCGCCTCTAGCTGCGTTAAAAGAGACAAAACCAAGGGGTGAGAGAGGCCTCAGAGGCCCTAAACAGTTTTTTTTTTTTTTTTTTTTTTTAAAATACAAAAATCTTTCAACTGATTTATTCAGCCAGTTATGATTCAGGCATTAATTACTTAGGAAAAATTGTTATTAACGGGGAGCCATCAGGCTGAAGAAGGAGGCCTACAGGGCATGGTTGGTCTGTGGGTCTTCAGAAGCAGCTGACAGGTACCGGCGGGCCAAGCGGAGCGCAGCAGTGGCAGTCGCGGAGGCAAAAACTCGGGTGTGGGAGGAGTTCGGTGAGGCCATGGAGAAAGACTATCGATCGGCTCCAAAGAGGTTCTGGCAAACCATCCGGCGCCTCAGGGGGGTGGGGAGGGGGCGGCAACTTGCTCACACTGTTTACAGTGGGGGCGGGGAGCTGCTGACGTCAACTGGGGACATTGTCGGGCGGTGGAAGGAATACTTTGAGGAGCTCCTCAATCCCACCAACACGTATTCCAGTGAGGAAACAGAGCCGGGGGTCTCGGGGGCGGGTCGTCCAATTTCGGGGGCAGAAGTCGCCGAGGTAGTGAAGGAACTATGCGGCGGCGGAGCCCCGGGGGTGGATGAGATTCGCCCTGGATATCTCAAGGCTCTGGATGTTGTAGGGCTGTCCTGGCTGACACGCCTCTGCAACATTGCGTGGACATCGGGGGCAGTGCCTCTGGAGTGGCAGACCGGGGTGGTGGTTCCCATCTTCAAGAAAGGGGACCAGAGGGTATGTTCCAACTACAGGGGGATCACACTCCTCAGCCTACCCGGTAAGGTCTACGCCAGGGTGCTGGAGTAGAGGGTCCGGTCGATAGTTGAACCTCGGTTTGAGGAGGAGCAATGTGGTTTTAGTCCCGGACACGGAACCGTGGACCAGCTCTTTACTCTCGCCAGGGTGCTGGATGGGGCATGGGAGTTCGCCCAACCAGTCCACATGTGTTTTGTGGATTTGGAGAAGGCTTATGACCGTGTCCCCAGGGGCATCCTGTGGGGGGTGCTCCGGGAGTATGGGGTTGGTGGCCCTCTGCTAAGGGCCATCCAGTCCCTGTACTGAAGGAGCACGAGTCTGGTTCGCGTGGCTGGCAGTAAGTCAGACCTGTTCCCGGTGAGGGTTGGACTCCGCCAGGGCTGCCCTTTGTCACTGGTTCTGTTCATAACTTTCATGGACAGAATTTCTAGGCGCAGCCAAGGGGTGGAGGGTGTCAGGTTTGGTGACGGGAGGATCTCGTCCCTGCTATTTGCGGATGACGTAGTCCTCCTAGCTCCATCGAACAGTGACCTCCAGCTCTCGCTGGGACGGTTCGCAGCCGAGTGTGAAGCGGCTGGGATGAGAATCAGCACCTCCAAGTCTGAGGCCATGGTCCTCAGCCGGAAAAGGGTGGATTGCCCACTCCAGGTCGGGGGGGAGGTCCTGCCTCAGGTGGAGGAGTTTAAGTATCTCGGGATCTTGTTCACGAGTGAGGGTAGGATGGAGCGGGAGATTGACAGGCNACAAGCTTTGGGTAGTGACCAAAAGAACGAGATCGCGAGTACAAGCGGCCGAAATGAGTTTCCTCCGCAGGGTGGCTGGGCTCAGCCTAAGAGATAGGGTGAGGAGCTCGGACATCCGGGAGGGACTTGGAGTAGAGCCGCTGCTTCTCCACATCGAGAGGAGCCAGTTGAGATGGTTTGGGCATCTGGTAAGGATGCCTCCCAGACGCCTCCCTTGGGAGGTGTTTGGGGCATGTCCAACCGGGAGGAGACCTCGGGGCCGCCCCAGGACACGCTGGAGGGATTACATCGCCCGGCTGGCCTGGAAACGCCTCAGGGTTCCCTCGGAAGAGCTGACAGAGGTGGTTGGGGAGAGGACTGTCTGGGCTTCTTTGCTGAGGCTGCTGCCCCCGCGACCCGGACCCGGATAAGCGGAGGACGACGAGACGAGACGAAACGAAAAAATGCAAATAAATCCAAACGTTTCATTCCAAACTTTTGGAAGCATTTTTTTGCTACATTTTCACTTGCAATTTAAAATACTTGCATAAAAAAGTACAGATCAGTAGCACACCTGAGCAGGTGTGTGCACTCGTGTTTTAAATAGTAAGGTCTTAGAAAAAATGCATGTGTGTTGGGAGTACTGAGCATTCGCTGGATAAATGAGACTTGGATTATACTGCGCGAGTTGTTGTTTGTAACTGGATGTTTTGATATGTATTTTTGCTATTGTTGAACACGGTCCCCAATGACTTCAATTAATCAAGAATTTTCTCGAATTTTTGTTCATAACAGAGGCATGCAAAAAAACAAAACAAAAAAAAACAAACAGAGGTTTTCTTCACAAATTCAACATAACACAGAGTGAGTAATTGGCATACAAATGATCAAATTGTTGGTGAAGTGTGCCTTTAACATGTGCACTTCAACACCAGCCAATGCCATCAAGGGCTTGTCATTATTATTGGTAGTAACGCCTACTGAAGCTTTTATTCTGGTATTAGAGGAGTAAACACTTGGTAAATGATTCAGTCTGTTGTACTGAATTGGTTAAAGATTTGATCCTTTGCACACATACTAAATCTGTGTCCTGTCTGCAGTAGCCGGTGACAGAAAGGAGACTGTCAAACTGGAAATGAGCAGCTTGCTGTGTTGTTTTGAAGTAACATCAACATTTATGTATGTGAAAGACAAAGACAGTCTTCCTGGAAGTCACCGTCCAAAACATGTTTACAGCATGTAAATCCTGTAAAATCACAACTTGTCATATCCTGCATTTCTATTTGTGTGCAGATTAAATGAGATGGTGTGTTGATCAGTCAACTTTCGAAGTTGTTGGCAGTCAGAATTTGTTATCTTTGGACAGAGGTGGGCTAGCTGTTTTCCCCTGTTTGCAGTCTTACAGACATGAGAGTGGTATCAGCATTTTCATCAAACTCTAACAAAAAAGGAATTAGCATATTTCCCAAAATGTTGAATTTTTTACAACTTCGGAAAACTTACCATGATCAAAAAGACAACAGCAGAGTTGGAGGCATATTAGTATTTCACTTGAAACTCACTGGAACCTTGTATACTGCAGTGTACTGCTAGGAGGTAAAGAGGAAACTGAGACAGGTCAAAAACAACTACAGGGAGAAGATTGAGGTCAAAATGGGACAGAACAGTATGAAGGAAGTGTGGGATGGGATGAAATGAATGACAGGCAGCGGCAAGCCTGCCTCCTTGACACAGAACGACCGCCCTCATGTGCCCTCATCTATCATCTCTGCCCCCATTCACACCTCTGCTGGGAACCCTGTTCTCCTCCACACACTGGACCCCACCAAGATTGTCAAAAACATGTCAGCCTGGCACTCTCTCAGTGAACCCTACAATTCAAATGTTTAGAGAACATAAGTCGCTGAGTAACATTTATTATAAAAAGCAGCTGAGTGCGGTTGACAGTCGACTTCAGAGGGCGGGTACATACACAGATGCACTGGTTTTGCGAGAGGACATCTCTCCAATTTTCCACCGTGCTGTTTTAAAACTTCAGTTTAGTCTTGCATTATCGCGGGGAAGGGGACTGCCATCTGACTGCTCTGTAGCCCCCACTAGTGGTGGGCAGCTGCATGACAGTTAAAGGATAACTTCGGTATTTTTCAACCTGGGCTCTATTTCCCAATGTGTATGTGTGCGTATGATTCATGGGTACCACTCGTTCTAAAATTGGTTCAGTATTGAGGCGCGAAACGAGCTAAAACAGAAATGGGGGCAAATGCGTCCCGTATAAACGTGCTTTTTTTGGCCACTGACGGGTTCAGATCGCCAGTGCTATCTCTGTAGATAGCATATTGTAGCGGCCCTGGGGCAGTGGTGAGTGTAAATGAGTGGAGTCAGCTGTCAGTCAGTGTTGGAGCAGAGAGGGGGAGGGCGGCCCCGCTGGGTACTGTAAGTGAGTATGTGTGTATGAAGTGTGTGTGTGTTACGCTAGAAGAGTCAGAGTTTGGGACAGAGTCTTTTACATGCTACCCCCTGGAGTGTTACCAGAGTTTTTGGAGTGCTCACATAAACGGGCCTTTTTCCCGAACGCAAGGACAGGATGTCACGCAACACCCCGTACAGCTTTCACAGGCTGCCTTTGTCGGACGGCGAGATGCTGAAGTTGTGGCTAGTTGTGCTACAAATGGATGCTAACACTCCTCTCCAGACACTGCGCCTTGCAGACCATTGGGTCTGCAGTGCTCACTTCTCCCAAGATGACTACTGCCAGCCGAAGGAAGAGAAGACATCCAATCCCGAAACACCTCTTCCTCAAGAAAACGGCTGTCCCACGAGCAGAGAGAGCTACAGACACAGTGGAACAAAGATCGTGACATCACACAGCCCAGAGGTAAGGGAAAGGCTAAGTTAATATGCTATTTACAGAGATAGCACTGGCACTCTGAACCGGTCAGTGGTGAAAAAAACACACACTTCATACACACATACTCACTTACAGTACCAAGCGAGGCCGCCCTCCCCCTCTCTGCTCCAACACTGACTGACAGCTGACTCCACTCATAGCACTGGCGATCTGAACCGGTCAGTGGCCAAAAAAAGCACTTTTAATGCGCAAACTTATACGGGACGAATTTGCCCCCGTTACCGTTTTAGCTTGTTTCGCGGCTCCGGTTGCATCCGCCTCCCTCAATACTGAACCAATTTTAGAACGAGTTGTACCTATGAATCATACGCACAAATACACATGGGGAAATAGGGCCCAGGTTGAAAAATACCGAAGTTGTCCTTTAAGCTGCCTTGTACATGAATAAAACACTTATTGGTTTGACCATCTAATATTTCTGGTGCCGACTAGCAAGGGGGCAGATGTTTAATCGTTTAGACAACTCAGACTAATCTCGCGCATCCCTAGGTTTTTGTAAAGGAGTCTATGGTTAAGTATATGGTATTTATTGTTTTGTTTTGAATAGGGTATTGAGAGTCCTGAGATTTCACTGGTATTGGTATCAATTACAAAATTTCTGGTATCATGATGGGCCTGGTCTGCTGGCAAGGAGGCATCAAGGCTGGTGAGGCCAGCAGACTCAACAGGCTACTCAGGAAGGTCAGCTCTGTGGTCAGGCTGGAACTGGACAGTCTGTAGTCAGTGACAAAATCAAAACCCTCCTAGATAATGCCTCTCATCCACTACATGATGAGCTGTGGCAGATGAACAGCTCAGTCAGTCACCAGGTCATCTCACCCAGGTGTAAAACAGTGTGCTTCAGGGGCTCATTTATGCCCACTGCAGTCAGGCTGTACAACAGCTGTGGAGACCACAGACTATGACATTCACTTTGATCTGTCAGCCTCTGGCTATTCTGTCAACCCTTCACCTTGTCTTAACTCCTGTGGTTGTTTTACAGCGTCAGCACTAACCACAGGAAGTTGTAACAGTGCAGTGTGTTTTACTTTGTTTAGTTCTTGGTTTTGAGTTGGACATTTTGATATTATGTGACTTTTAAAATTGATTTTCCTTTACTCTCTCTCCCTCCTATCAGGGTAGATACCACTCGCGTGGAGTTCACCATCTCCCTCAGAGAGAACTGGTCTTTACCCTTCCTAGCGCTGCAGGTTGCCGCTATCACCTGTTACCTCAGGCCTCAGCTCACCTCCTTACAGCAGGTACACACAAACCCACACTAAATCAAAGCTATTGAGCACATCGATTGGCCTTGACACCCAATCCGTCTGCTTAAAAATCCTCCATCTCTGAAGGAGGCAGCAGAACAGCAGGAATGCATATATATGCAGTTGGTGACATGTTTAAGTATCTAATCCCAGTGTGCTGGTGTGTGTGTTTCCCTCCTCAGAAGGTGATGGTGTGGTTGATGTACGTGACAACGTTCTGTTTCTGTCTAACGTGGCAGTTCAACCAGTTCATCCTGCTTGTTCAGGCTCTCATCATATACACTCTGGACTGTGTCGACTTTTTAACAACTACACAGGTATGGCTACAAGACAGACCAGATTCCTAAAGAATCAATTCCATGGAAATATAATGCGAACTGGATACTGGACCCCAAAATGGTGCCGATTCAGCTGAATGAATATTGCTTGGCAAGTGCATAAGCTAAATAAGTGGTTGCTTTAGTGCTGTAACTTAAGCACTCAGTAACAACTTCTTCCCTCTTCTCACCTCTCTTTGCCATTGGTAGGAGGAATTTCTATACTATACACTTAATGGATTGATTGATTGATTGACCTTAAGTTCCTAACCCTCATGGGTTTTCAAGACACCAAAAGTACAGTTGCAGTGGTTAAACATTTCATTTTAATATACAATTACAGGTTATTTTAAAGGTCTAGTGTGTAGGATTTAGGGGACATATTGGCAGAAATGTTTTATAATATTTATACCTATGCTTTTATTAGTTGAAACTAAGAATCATTGTGTTTCTACTACCTCAGAATGAGCTGTTTTTCTACATACAGAGCTGGTCCTCTGGTGTCAGCTCATGGTGTCCGCCATATTGTTTCCCAGCCCAAAACAAACAAACAAAAAAAAACCCCACTGGCTCTAGATAGGGCCAATGGCGTTGTTGTGTTTTCCACTATAGTTCTTCTACATGCTTGCAATGTTGCAATCTTACCCCTAGATGCCACTAAATCCTCCACACTAGACCTTTAAAACCCAGTCTTAATCAAAATATTTTTCTATCCCAAGCTTCGTGAATAAAATCTGCCACAAAAAAGATTCCTTTTCTGAAGTACAACTCAGGTTTTTCACAGTCATCCAGCCAGAAGTAATCCACATAATTGATGTCATTTTACTTTAAAGCACATCCTTATTTCCTCAAAATTTCCTCAGTAAAATGAACTTAATTCTCAATTTTATCTCGCTCACAACAAAAGAAGTCTGCCTGTGTCTGAGTGGAAGCAAAGCTGCCGATTTCAGGAGCTGATGGTAATGTTCCTGAGCGTAACTGTGCCCATAGAGATCTTTTGTCTTTTGTTTAATCATACTTCACATCAAGTTCTACACTGTAGTAAGTTTGCAATTTTGGGACAGAGTCACAATGTTTTTGGGTTGTTCATCTGTACATCCCACTCTTGTAGAAGTGATATCACAAGAATGCCTTGAGGGAATGTTTTTAAATTTGGCACAAATGTCACTTGGACTCAAGGGTGAACTGATTATCTTTTGATGGTCAAAGGTCAAATTAGCCTGGTAAGACCATCCTGATGATGTGAGCTCAACATTCTGTTTTGGTCTCTGTATCAGTCTGGACTCTGTGTTACCTCATTTCCAGAAATTAAATTCCAATTGGGGCCAATCAGGGATCCGCACCATAGTTGACAATGTAAGCAGCCAATCAGGAACTGCATTGTAGTTGATTAAGTGAAATGCAAACTGCAGCTTGCAGAGCAGTAACGGCAGCTTCCGAAGCAGAAAGCGCTAACTCTAATGTTATTAGAGTAAACACAGCAACAAGTGAAGGTACTGCAGAAATAGAGTCAATAGGAACAATTAAAAAAGAACAAGAATATGCACCTGCAGAGTTTCTCAGAGGAAGAGACATTTTCACCGTTCTTCTGTCTGGATTTGTCAAAAACGTGATTTATCACCTGGCTCTGTTGGTGGTGAAGATGTTCCCTGGTGTTTTGTTATGCTGACTGGCTGAAGGAGTTTGTCTGTCGAGGCGATCACTCCTGCATGTTGAGCTCACGTCATCAGGATGGTCTTACCAGGCTAAAGGTCATTGTGACCTTGCGTCTGTCTCACTCTTGTGAATGCAATATCTAAAGAAGGCCTTGTGGGAATTTCCTCAAATTTGACAGAAGCATCCACCTGGACTCAAAAATAAACTGATTAGAATTTGGTGGTGAAAGGTCAGAGGTCAAGGTTACTTTTACCACACAAAACATGTTTTGGCCGTAGCCCAGGAATTTGTATGCTAATTATGACAGAATTTCACACAAATCTCTAATAGTATAAAATGATGAAGTGATGACATTATATATCCAAAAGGTCAAAGGTCAACTTTACTCTTACATCATAATATTCTGCAAAAACACTTTTCTGGCCATTACTCAATGTCATTCAGCTTAGGAACAGGAGCTCAGAAACAGAAGAAGAGACATTTGGTCAGATACTGAATTAGTGAAGCTAATCTTAGGTGTCCACCCTAAAACTGTGCTGATTGTATAGATCTTCTGTGCTGCTGGGGGCAAAATGTAAACTTTAAGTGCAACTTGACTGGTTCGCAGAGGCGTACAAGAGAAACATTTTGATCCTAATCTTCTTAATATCACAAAGTAACTTGTTCTGGAAAATTAATGACAAAGTGTTCAAATAAAATAAGTATTTCAACACATTAGCCCAGAGATGACCGTGCAAATTGTCCTAAATTAAATATCTTTTTAGTCAGTGTCTGATCAGACATCTTCACAAGTCTATTCCAAAGATGAAACATTTGAGATTTATGTCTGATGTTTGGAGGTTTCCATTTCATATCTCCACTAATGGCCAAAACTAAATTAAATTTGTGGACTTGAATAGCTCTATGATGCAGTGTTACAACTTGTAAGTTCATGGAAACCCCAACAGTATACTTTTTTTTTGCTGGTGTCTGCAGCCATGTGACATGTAGGATACTGGCTTAAGTTTCATAACACTATGTATGTGTTTCTCTAGGTGACCACTATGTACCTGGTTCAAGTGAGCAGTCTGCTGAGTGTGTGGCTCCTCCAGTTCTGTAACTCCATGATACTGGGATCACTGGTCCTAAGCTTCATCGTAGCTGCGCTCTTCATCAGACACTGCCAGGTTGGTGTGTGTGTGTGTGTGTGTGTGTGCGTGTGTGTGTGTGTGTGTGAGAGAGATAGAGAGAGTAATGAATACAGAGAATTAAAGTAAAAGTTCTAAATCGGAAAAGGCAGGAGTTGGGAACGCTGAAAATTAATATAACACTGTTAGTGTATCAGCTTCCCACAGAGAAAGATCCAGACAGTTGTGGTAGCTTGTTTACAAAACACAGATGGAAGATTAACCTGCATGATGTGAAGAGGCCTGTGCTGCAGTCTGCTTCTGCAGAAGTTAATTCCAATTTGTATGCTGGGGACACATTTTCCTGTCAGGTCTAAATGTAATTTAGTTAAATCAGATCTTATCACAGTAACAATTACAGAAACATTTAATGTGACAGGATGAAAGTGGAATGGAGAGAAAGATGGAGGAAGGTTGAGAATCACAAATTGGAGAGAACGATTTCATTTGTGGCTTTAGATAATTTGTATACTGTAACACATGCTCCTATGGTGAGACGTTTTCATTAAAAACAGGCATGTTTAACCCATTCTAATATGTTCAAGAGGTGTGGACGTGACTCACATGACTCTGACCAGTCAATGTTGAATTATGATTCTGGTGACCTCAGACTTGATTTTTGACAGCCTTGATTTGATCTCATTCCAAGTCCAAACATTAAAATAAATGTTATTAAAAAACTGCAGCATTATCAACTCTTCATTTGCCAGACAACAGACTGCACTTTATTTAAATCTTTTACTAGTGTAAATAAAAAACTCCTTTGACAGCAAATTATTTCAGATGTAGCTAATTAATATTAATGGCAAAAATGAAAGTGTTGGCTGCTGTCTGGTTGATGTGCAGGCTGGTGTTTGTGCTCAGCCAAGCATCATTTGTCAAATAAAAGAAACATCACTCTGTAAAATGACTCAATTATCACAAGTGGACAGTGTGTTTTCGAGGTTTAGCAAGACCAGCAGTTGTTGTTTCACATCAGTTTCAGTTGTCTGAGTCTCTCAGCTCAACTTTCATTCATATGATTTACTTAATTTCAACAAGAGAACAAGTTTTATTCACATGCAGCATTTTATGTTACATTCTGATTTGTTAAAATTCTATCCAACCCAGGGCTTTACAGTGCAACAAATATGTAATATATGCTACCCAAAAATCAGTCCGCTGGAGCACCTGCAGCTTTGCGCTGCATGTGTGAGACAGTCCTTAAAGGTCTCTTAAAGGGGAACTAATGTTTTTTCATCCTGGGCCCTATTTTCCAATCTACTTTTGTCTAAATGAGTGATAGGATGTTCAATATTTGACATTTCTCCAGTACGAAGCTAGGGCTGACCTGCCTGCAGCCTGTGAGCGTGCGCTATATTAAGTAATACGGCACTCAGACAGCGTCAAATAACGTCAAAATACGTCCACTAAAAATGCATTTTTATCACACAGATAGGCTCGGAAAGGAAAAGGAGAAATGAATGTCTGAGTTTACCTTTTAGCTGGGTTCGGACATGTTCCTCTGCCTGTTGCTGCTCCCTCTCTCTCCTCGTCCACTCTTCAATTTCAATGAGCCCTGGGTCCGTGTACATCCGTGTACTCCGTGTTCAAATAAATATGGGCGGCCATCAAATTCAAATGGCTCATCCAGATCCAGTGGGCCAAAATCGGGTAAAAGTTCGTACGTGTTTGTCATGGCAAGTCAAAACACTCACTCAGAGAGTGAAAGTCTGGCTCTGAAATCTCACGTCTCGCGAGATTTGAGTTGTTGCAGGAAGTTACCACTGGAGTGACCTTA